AAAACAAGATCCGTCACTCATCAGACACCTCAGCACAGTCTAGGTCGTTTACAGTTTTGGTTACAAATATAATTAAAGAAACAAAATAAAAGCACAAAAAGCAATAAAAAATAAATTGTTAATCTATAATCCTTCCTCTTGCTCACTTTTCATCTTCGCTCAAAGATTACAGCGAAGTTCGACTCAAGTACAGCGAAGTACAAATCGGCTTCCTATCTTATCAATTTCCAGCGCATCTTCACCAAAAGTGACTGGATCCTCCTCCATCGTAAGGACATCTTCAGCGCTTTTGATTGACACAATTAGATCTTTTTTCATTTGTAGCCCGCTTATGGTTTAAGTTTTCTCAAATGGAAGTTACCTTTGGCTGCACGTATCTGATGGTGCCGATCTTGTTTACCTCAAGCGCAGCACGTGTCTCAAAAATTTGTAAACCCCATCAAATCACTCTAGCCAGGTGATTTTTATTCTTTATAATAAAATCAGCGATATTAAAACTAAAGCACGAGTGGTTACCGTAAAAAATTTATCGTCACCCGGCCGCGATTAGCCACCCTTGCTAAGCCATTGTTTCCCTTAAAACAGTGACTAATAGATCAAAGTTTATCTCCGAATTTTCTCCAAATTCTTTATTCGAATTCGAATTCTGTAATCGATTTGTTTGATAAAAAAAAATCAAAATCTTTATTTTTATCTTTTTCTAAGTCTAAAAATAATTTTAAACTCGAATTTTGAATCATTTTGAACTCCAAAAAAACTTCAATATTTTAAAGGCTCATTTAAATCACAAATTTTGAAGTGAAACGAAAGGGGGGAAAGATTTGAACTGAAAACCAAAAAAGGAAATGAATGTAAAGAGATCAGAAGAAAAGGAATAATGAAAATATTAGGAAAAATTGCAAAATTCTACAATAATCTATAGTTTGATGACTTTTGAGGAGTCCGACAATCGAGGCACCGGTCAGTGTGATTGAGACAGCGATCGCCATCAAGATGAAGTTGCGCTTACCCTGCAAAGCTTTTGGGAGGGTTTGGGAAGGTTTTTTTAAAGAATCTTTAAGAAATCTATGTAGGAAAGGTTTATTATGAAATAAAAGCTATTGATTAAAGCTTTTCATTGCTTTTCGCAGCTTCAAAACGGACGGACGGGCAGACGAGATAGACAGACGGACAGACGGATGGACAGACGGACGAACAGACGGACGGACGGACGGGCGAACGGGCGAGATAGACAGACAGACAGAACAGACGGACGGACAGACGGACAGACGGGCAGACGAGACAGACAGACGAACGAACGGACGGACAGACGGACGGACGGACGGAACAGAGCGGACAGGCGAACAGACAGACAGACGGACGGACGGACGAACAGACAGACGGGCAGACAGAGCCGAACGGACGGACGGACAGACAGACGGACGGGCAGACGGGCGGACAGACAGACAGACGGGCAGACAGATAGACAGACAGACGGGCGGGCAGACAGACGGACAGACGAACAGACAGACGAGGCAGACGAACAGACAGACGAACAGACGGACGGACGGACGGACAGACAGACGGACGGGCAGACGGGCAGACGGAGCAGACGAACAGACAGACGGACGGACGGACGAACGGACGGGCGAAGACAGACAGACAGGCAGACGGACGGACGAACGGACGAAGCAGACGGGCAGACGAACGAGAGACGGGAGACAGACAGACAGACGAACGGGCAGACGAGACGGACAGACGAGACAGACAGACGGGCAGACGAACGGGCAGACGGGCGAACAGGCGAGACGGACGAACAGACGAACGGACGGACGGACAGACGGGCGAGCGGACAGACGGACGAACGGACAGACGGACGGACAGACGGACGAACGGGCAGACGGGCAGACAGGCGGACGGACGGACGGACGGACGAACGGGCAGACGGGCGAACAGACGGACACGGCGGACGGACGGAGACAGACGAACGAACGGGCAGACAAACCGGAAAATGCTGCTTCTCTTTAAACGATCATCGTAGTTGTAGTGACTGAGTTGTTGGTTGTCTACGGAATGAATTGAGATCAAGAGGTGGGTTCGAATCCTTCACCTACCACTTGAAAGACTAGCGGAAACTCGACTCAAGAAGTATAACAAAACTTTGATGCTAGAAAACTCGCGTTTACAAACTTACTGGACGACTGTACTTTGTTTAACAACGTACTTTGACTACTGTACTTTCTTTCCTCACCTGAATCTCTTTGAAATAAAAAATGCTCCACAAAGCGGCCACACAACCGGGCAGAGTGGTGATGATCGGGAAAGTGACAGCCTGCAAATTGGTTTCTGAATTCAGCGCAATAGAAAGGCTTCGTTTACAGAATTCAGCTCAAAGTACAGTACGTACAGTCCTTCTGGAGTAAGGGAGATCAAGTGCCTTGTAGTGTAATGTTTAGCACAATGACCCGATTAGGGAAAGGTAGTGGGTTCGAGTCCCGGCGGCGCAAGTTTTTGCTCTGCCCTAGTTACTATGGTCAGTCAGACTTTTCAAAGTGCACAAACACTTGCTTCTCCTAGCTACAGTAATCCTTCTCCTAGCTACCGTAATCGCCAGGCGCCCAGTAGGGGTGAACTTACATGTCAATTGAAGATATTGTAGTCTAATGGTTACGGTAACTGGCCTAGATTGGGAATACGGTAGCTAGGCAAGCCTACGGTAGATAGGCTGGTTACAGTAGATAGGCCAGCTAGTTGGGCCACGCTTAAGAACGGTGCGTCAAAACTCACAAAGCAACCAGCTCAGCTAAAACCCCCAACCCAGGTTAAAAGGCTTTTCTCGCTGCCCTTGTCAATGTGACGTGGTGGCCTAGTGGATAAGGGGCTTGGATACAAAGCGATTTCCCGGCCCTTGCTCGGGTTCGAGTCCACCCTCCGCCAATTTCTTTTCTTTTTTTGATTCAATGAAACTAGTAGGTTTCTATTTTGTCAGTGCACTAGAAAGAGTGCGTTTAGGAGCTCAAAGTACTTACTTGGGACAAGTTATCGTTTGCGATGAAAAATGACGATTGTGCGATTGCCCACAACAAGCCACCGCCAAAAGCTGGTAGAGTGATTGCGTTGTTGATTGTTGGCTTGTTTTTTCTTGAAAACATACTGTAAATAGTAGTCTAAAGTACTTTATTTACTTGAATATCGAATAGCCGACGAAAAGCGCGGTGCCAGTGACAAAAATGCCGAAATAATGCGAAAAGATGTAGCTCATCCCGTCCTGAAAACAAATTCTGGAGTCGATTTGCTGAACTGTGGCTTTCTAGAGGCTTTAGGTGCTTTATAAAGGTGCATAAAGGCTTTCTAAAAGCTCCATAAAGCTGCCGCTAACTAACCGTTGGATAAAGGGAATCTCTCGGGATTATCCTGCATAACGATCACTGGGACGAACGTTAAACCATAGAAACAACCCGAGATCAAAGCAAGAAGAATTCCGCTGAAACGAAAGGCACAAAATGTGCTGTGAGTTCCAGATTTACGAAAAAACACTTTGATTTGGTTGAATTTTTGAAATTTTCCACTTAATTATTGAAGATCTCGAATCAAGCTCTCAAAACCGAAAAAACACAGAGATTCTGCCAAATTAAACTGTTATTCTTCCGATCTGGATATCACGGAAATTATGGAACTTCTTAGCTTTAAAAGTAAGCAAACTCCGGTGGTCGAGCGGCCTGGGCGCGCTCGGCTACCAATCTGAGGGTCCTGGTTCCGGTTCCCCGACTCAAAAATTTCCGGAATAAAGCGATTTTTATGAGCTCTGATGCTCTTGTGCGTTCCAGAATCGCTAGAAATTTGTTTAAAATTTCAAGATCTTCAATTATCAGCAGTATATAGGCTTGTACTAAAATTAAACGATTTTTATGAGCTCTGATGCTCTTGTGCTTTCCAGAATCGCTAGAAATTTGTTTAAAATTTCAAGATCTTCAATTATCAGCAGTAAATAGGCTTGTACTAAAATTAAGGCCTATAGGCTATAAATCTCAGCTATAAGGTCCAGCTAAAAGGTCTAAATCCCAGCTATAAGGCACAGTGAGGCATTAGGCAGCTATAGCTACAGTGAGGCATTAGGCAGCATATCAAGGATGCTTTCAAAACCCAAAAGTCAGCCTAAATTTCTCTGACCGAATGGCATCTACCACAAAAATTCCTTTTTTCGTTTGTTATCAAGATTTTATAATATTTTATTTTATAATTTTAATCATGATTTTATAATAAGTTAAAATAGATTGAATTCGAGCAATTAGACATCGAAACAAAATGAAAAGCAGTGAAAGGCATCGAACCCGAGCGAATATCTGACCGTTCGCTCTGGAAACAAGATACTTATCCACTACACCATGAGGTCATGTTCCCGTGAGGTGAAAAAAAGCCTTATCTAGGCTTTTGACTGATTTTTGACCTGACTTCCTCAACGTATTTCTCCTTTTTTTTTTCTTTGTCTCCCTTGTCTTTCCCTTTTTCTCTTCGCGATCAAGGGACCAAATGGCTCAGTCGGTTAGAGCTCAGAGCACGGAAAGGCTGGGGGGTCAAAGGGGTCGAGGGTTCAATCCCTTCTCCGGTCATTTATTTTTCCTTTCAATTCTTTACTATTGTTTTGATTTTCCCTGATCGGTAATCCAATTTCAATCTCTATGCAAAACATTTCACTGACACTCCTCGTCCTCGTGCCCCCATTTCTTGTCTCACTTCGGCTCCATCAACTTTCGTCGTTCGATTCAAAACCTCATCATCGGATTGCTCAGGCGTTGCACTCAACTTTTCATTTTCCGCGTCATGCTAAATTTGAGATAATAAATTCATATAGAAATTGGGGAATTTAAAGAATTGAATTTAAAGATTTGAGTTTATAGATTTGAATTTAATGATTTGAATTTAATGATTTGAATTTAAGGATTTGAATTTAAGGATTTGAATTTAAGGATTTGAATTTAAGGATTTGAATTTAAGGATTTGAATTTAAAGATTTGAGTTTATGGATTTGAAAATCAAGCGAAATTCAACCTGAAAAGAAGCTTTAGAAGTAAGCAAGTCATCGCTAGCTTTGAAAGAATCTCTCTAGACCTCTCTAGACCTCTCTAGACCTCTCTAGACCCCTCTAGACCTCTCTAGACCTCTCTAGACCCCTCTAGACCTCTCTAGACCTCTCTAGACCCCTCTAGACCTCTCTAGACCTCTCTGGACCTCTCTAGACCTCTCTGGCCTCTAGACCCCTCTAGACCTCTCTAGACCTCTCTAGACCTCTCTAGACCTCTCTAGACCTCTCTAGACCCCTCTAGACCTCTCTAGACCTCTCTAGACCCCTCTAGACCCCTCTAGACCTCTCTAGACCTCTCTAGACCTCTCTAGACCTCTCTAGACCTCTCTAGACCCCTCTAGACCTCTCTAGACCTCTCTAGACCTCTCTAGACCTCTCTAGACCTCTCTAGACCCCTCTAGACCTCTCTAGACCTCTCTAGACCCCTCTAGACCCCTCTAGACCTCTCTAGACCTCTCTAGACCTCTCTAGACCTCTCTAGACCTCTCTAGACCTCTCTAGACCCCTCTAGACCTCTCTAGACCTCTCTAGACCTCTCTAGACCTCTCTAGACCCCTCTAGACCTCTCTAGACCTCTCTAGACCTCTCTAGACCTCTCTAGACCTCTCTAGACCCCTCTAGACCTCTCTAGACCTCTCTAGACCCCTCTAGACCCCTCTAGACCTCTCTAGACCTCTCTAGACCTCTCTAGACCTCTCTAGACCTCTCTAGTTTATTTTTAAATAAGACTACAATACAGATAGCTTTTTCGATCGATATACACTACTGGACAATGAAATATGATATTTGAAAAAAGATCGTCACTTTCACGCGTCTATAACTCCCTTGTCTTTACCGTATTTCTAAATATTAATATTATCATTGTGTAGCCCTTGAAAAGAGCTTTCAGAAAATGTATAACACTAGTCGTTTAAACTCAAAAACAACGGAGTTACAGACGCGCGAAAGTGACGATCGTTTTTCAAATATCATTTTCCATTGCCCAGTGCTGTAGGTTCAACTTGGAATTTTTTTCCATGTCTACTGCCTTTCCTTGTAAGTGCAGACTATCCACTAGACCACCGCAGCGCCTGTCGAGCCAGCGTGTATAAGCTATATAAGCTATAAGTTAGACTTAAGCTCGAGTCAAAAGGCCAGCTTAAGTTGGTGCCTTTTAGGAATGAGAAAATTCCAACGCGAGCCTAATTCCACGTTTTTTCATCTTTCAAATATCATATTTCATTCTCCAGTGCTGTAGATTTGAAATTAAAGAATTGAATTTAAATTCAAGCTTTAAAGAAAAGCTGGGCAAAGAAAAAATGGCACACACCGTTTCTGTCGAGTTTTCGCTGGTGTTATTCTTGAATAGAATGGTTTGAAAAGGTTATTTTTGAATAACTGAAGGTTTATTGCTATTGTCGCTGAGACAATAGTCGCTGCTATTGTCGGTTAGAGCTCCCCTTTTTCTCGGTTAGAGCTCAGCTCCCCCCATTTTTCCCTCGGCCGGCTCCTCTTCAGCTTTGCCACAATATAAGAAAAGACCTAGCTAATTATTAGATTCTAATTCTCATATTCGAATTCTCATATTCGAATTCTCATATTCACAATCTAATTACTATTTTATATAATTACCAGATGCAAAGTGATCCTTTTTCCCTCGGCCGGCTCCTCTTCCGCTTTGCCACCTCGGATTCGAGAGAAAAGAAAACCACTAAAAATTTGGTCTTCTTTTTCACTTGTCTTCTTTTTCAGATGTACTTTGCGCTCGCTTTGTAAACGCACGCCTTCTGGCGGACTCTTGTGTGGGAAATGAGAACAAAAACTCACCCAACAAGCACCAACGAGAGCCCAAAATAGTTGAGAATCGAGCTCTCTGGTGGATTTGCTTTCATGCCGAAAAGACCGAATCTAGAATTTTCTAGGGAATACAAATGGATTCTAAAGGAACTTCTAAAAGTACTGTACTTCTGTACTGTACTTCTAAAAGTACTGTACTTCTAAAAGTACTGTACTTCTAAAAGTACTGTACTTCTAAAAGTACTGTACTTCTAAAACAATTGTACTTCTAAAACAATTGTACTTCTAAAACTATTGTACTTCTAAACCTATTGTACTTCTAAAAGTACTGTACTTCTAAAAGTACTGTACTTCTATAAGTACTGTACTTCTAAAACAATTGTACTTGTAAACCTATTGTACTTCTAAAAGTACTGTACTTCTAAACCTATTGTACTTCTAAACCTATTGTACTTCTAAAAGTACTGTACTTCTAAAAGTACTGTACTTCTAAAACCTAGCCAAGCAAATCTCCCTTCAAACCTTCCACCCGCCCATCCAGTCAAACAATTCGTTGTGTTCCAGATGAGAATCCCAAGCGCCATCCCGAGCCGCGAGATCACTGGAATCGCCATCGAATTCCCGATCGACCAAAACATTCCACCTGGAAAAAGAGTTGCTGTGATGTCCAGCTTAGAGAATGGATCGGGTGGGCGCGGGTGGGGATAACCTTGAGGCTAGAAACTAGAGGGGTCAAAGTTAGCTCGAGTAGCAGATCACCAAAAGGCACCAAACATCCAGCTTTTATTGTTAAACAATAGAATGCGTTCCAGGCTGAGAAATAAACCACGCAATGGTTTACAGAAATGCTTAAAAGCTGCAGATTATGCACCGATAGATTCGGCTTAAAATCAACTTCTTTCCAACTTCACTAAATAGTGAAATTTTGTTTTCAGAATTTAGTGTGACTTCCAGATAAGCAGCTAGTGTTTTCAGAATTGTTAAAAACTTGAGTAAACCTTGAGTAAAGTAGCGCGTTCAAAGTTGGGTAACGAAATCGTCTCAAAACTAGTCAAATGTTCTCAAATTGTTCTCAAAATTTAGTGTGACTTCCAAATAAGCAGCTAGTGTTTTCAAAAACATCGTACAATTCAAACCAACCAAGCATTGCCAACGGGTAGAAACCGGGGAATCCAATATAGACGAAAGTGCAAAAGCCGACAAGGAGAATCGCCGATGACATCACCCATTGCACAAAGAAGCCTAGAAAAAAAACCCTTCTGGCCTTTTGCAAACAAATCCCTTCTGGCAAACGCCAATTTCACTAATTTCACTAATTTCCTCTTTTTCTAAAAAGAAAATCAGATTTTACTCGAAAATTTTCGAGGATTCTTTTCTTGAAAAGATCTTCTTTATAAAGAAAGTTTAACCATCTTTATAAAGATTGTTTAATCGGTTTCTTCTTTGAATAAATAATTAACTACTTAAATAATTCTAAAAGCTCTAAAGCTCTAAACACTCTAAAAGCTCTAAAGCTCTAAACACTCTAAAGCTCTAAAGCTCTAAAAGCTCTAAACACTCTAAAGCTCTAAAGCTCTAAACACTCTAAAAGCTCTAAACACTCTAAACACTCTAAAGCTCTAAACACTCTAAAAGCTCTAAAACTCTAAAAGCTCTAAAAGCTCTAAACACTCTAAAGCTCTAAACACTCTAAAGCTCTAAACACTCTAAAGCTCTAAACACTCTAAAGCTCTAAACACTCTAAAAGCTCTAAAAGCTCTAAACACTCTAAAAGCTCTAAAAGCTCTAAACACTCTAAAAGCTCTAAAAGCTCTAAACACTCTAAAAGCTCTAAAAGCTCTAAACACTCTAAAGCTCTAAACACTCTAAAGCTCTAAACACCTAAAGCTCTAAACACTCTAAAAGCTCTAAAAGCTCTAAACACTCTAAAAGCTCTAAAAGCTCTAAACACTCTAAAGCTCTAAACACTCTAAAGCTCTAAACACTCTAAAGCTCTAAACACTCTAAAAGCTCTAAAAGCTCTAAACACTCTAAAAGCTCTAAAAGCTCTAAACACTCTAAAAGCTCTAAAAGCTCTAAACACTCTAAAAGCTCTAAAAGCTCTAAACACTCTAAAGCTCTAAACACTCTAAAGCTCTAAACACTCTAAAGCTCTAAACACTCTAAAAGCTCTAAAAAGCTCTAAACACTCTAAAAGCTCTAAAAGCTCTAAACACTCTAAAAGCTCTAAAAGCTCTAAACACTCTAAAAGCTCTAAAAGCTCTAAACACTCTAAAGCTCTAAACACTCTAAAGCTCTAAACACTCTAAAGCTCTAAACACTCTAAAAGCTCTAAAAGCTCTAAACACTCTAAAAGCTCTAAAAGCTCTAAACACTCTAAAGCTCTAAACACTCTAAAGCTCTAAACACTCTAAAGCTCTAAACACTCTAAAAGCTCTAAAAGCTCTAAACACTCTAAAAGCTCTAAAAGCTCTAAACACTCTAAAAGCTCTAAAGCTCTAAACACTCTAAAAGCTCTAAAAGCTCTAAACACCTCTAAAAGCTCTAAAAGCTCTAAACACTCTAAAAGCCTCTAAAAGCTCTAAACACCCTAAAAAGCCTGGAAGCTCTAAAGCTCTAAAGCCTTAAAAGCTCTAAAGCTCTAAAGCCTAAAAGCTCTAAAGCCTAAAGCCTCCAAAAGCCCTAAAAGCTCTAAGCCTAAAGCCCAAAAGCCTAAAAGCTCTAAAAGCTCTAAAAGCTCTAAAGCTCTAAAAAGCTCCTAAAGCCTCTAAAGCCTAAACAATCTAAAAGCTCTAAAACTCTAAAAGCCCTAAAAGCTCTAAACACCTAAAGCTCTAAACACTCTAAAAGCTCTAAAGCTCTAAACACTCTAAAAGCTCTAAAACTCTAAAAGCTCTAAAAGCTCTAAACACTCTAAAGCTCTAAACACTCTAAAAGCTCTAAAGCTCTAAACACTCTAAAAGCTCTAAAACTCTAAAAGCTCTAAAAGCTCTAAACACTCTAAAGCTCTAAACACTCTAAAAGCTCTAAAAGCTTACCATCTCCAGCATCGAATTTCTTAATTGGTACAAACATTGATCCAAAAAATAACACCGATACGCCACAGGCCAAAAGGCCCGTCATTGCTGGCATTCTTTTATCTAAAATAGAAAAAAGATTGATTTAACAATATAAAAAAGATTGATTTAACAATATAAACAACAAATAAAACAAACAATACAACAAACAACAACTTAAACAACAAATATAAAAAATCTGGCTGAAAATTACGTGCCCTAAACACTATAATTTAATAAACAACAAGAAAACGACAAGAAAGCGACAAAGAAAACGCTATAATTTAATGGTTTCTTTCAAAGAACATGTAAAAATATCTATTTTTACAGTTGTAACAAAAAAACATTTAATAATTAAGAAATTTGGTTCCTAATCTCTTTAAATTTGGTTCCTTATCGAGCGAGCTTTGGAATCTGAGATGGCTCCTCTTCCACTGGCTCCTCTACCACTGGCTCCTCTACCACTGGCTCCTCTACCACTGGCTCCTCTTCCACTGGCTCCTCTACCACTGGCCCTCTTCCACTGAGCTCCTCTTCCACTGGCTCCCACTATGCTTTATACATTGTTTAAAACGATTTCCGATGTTGAGCGCACGTAATTTTCAGCCACTATAAAAGGAACCAAAATAGAAAGCAACAAAAATCAAAGACACCGTAAAAACTCTAATAGAACTCTAACAGAACTCTAACAGAACTCTAACAGAACTCTAACAGAACTCTAACAGAATCTCTAACAGAACTCTAACAGAACTCTAACAGAACTCTAACAGAACTCTAACAGAACCCTAACAGAACTCTAACAGAACTCTAACAGAACCTAACAGAACTCTAACAGAACTCTAACAGAACTCTAACAGAACTCTAACAGAACTCTAACAGAACTCTAACAGAACTCCCTAACAGAACCTAACAGAACTCTAACAGAACTCTAAACAGAACTCTAACAGACTCTTAACAGAACTCTAACAGAATCCCTAACAGAACTCCTCTAACAGAACTCTAACAGAACTCTAACAGAACTCTAACAGAACTCCTAACAGAACTCTAACAGAACTCTCTTAACAGAACCTACAGACTCTAACAGAACTCTAACAGAACTCTGGACAGAACTCTAACAGAATCCCCTAACCGAACTCTAACAGAACTGTAATAGAACCCTAACAGAACCCTAACAGAACAGTATATAGAAGGGTGCGTCGCGTCGTTTAACCAGGGTTAATTCAAAAGTCGCAGTTAAAAAAGTAAAGAAAAGCCGATTTTCAAAGCATTTTTTCTAAGCGCTGGTTAATGGGAAAAATCTGTGTAAACACTCAAAAAAACTCTTCATTCTCTCACTTTAATCTGATATTAAAACATTTGAGAACAAATCACTCATCCCAAGCTATGAGGATTTATTTGAGAGTAAACTTCCGATCTAGCTAAAGAGGATCCAGCTAAATGAGAGGATATTCGAGTATTTAAGGTAGGGAAAAAGATAAAGCTTATAATTTCTGAAAAGAAGAGACCTCAAACGTGTAATGTGATCAACAATGACTATTTGAGAGAAAAGAAAAAGAATTAAATTTCATTTTGTTCCAATTCTTTTTCGTCAATTTTGTTCCAATTTTCAATAAACACAAGTGAAATTCGCTTTAGAAAATAAATCATTTAGGGGGAATAAATCATTTAGGAAAATAAATCATTTTCTAAAAGCTTAAAGAAAACTACCGTAATCCGTATTGGAACCGTATTGGAACCGTATTAGATGGAAAAAAGGAACCGTATTGGAAGCGTATTGGAAACCGTATTGGAACCGTATTGGGAACCGTATTGGAACCGTAGTAGATGAAAAAAGGAACCGTATTGGAAACCGTGGCTGGAACCGTAAGTAGATGAAAAAGGAACCGTATTGGAAGCGTAGTGGAACCTAGTTGGAAACGTAGTAGATGAAAAAAGGAACCGTATTGGAAATCGTATTGGAAACCGTAGTAGATGAAAAAAAGGAACCGTATTGGAACCGTGGCTGGAACCCGTAGTAGATGAAAAAGGAACCTGTACTGGAAGCGTATTGGAACCGTATTGGAACCGTAGTAGATGAAAAAAGGAAACCGTATTGGAAGCGTATTGGAACCGTACTGGAAACCGTATTGGAACCGTAGTAGATGAAAAAAAGGAACCGTATTGGAACCGTATTGGAACCGTGGTAGATGAAAAAGTGGAACCGTATTGGAAACCGTATTGGAACCGTAGTAGATGAAAAAAAGGAACCGTAGTTGGAAACCGTATTGGAACCGTAGTAGATGAAAAAAAGCGGAACCGTATTGGAACCGTATTGGAACCGTAGATTGGAACCGTAGTAGATGAAAAAGTAGGAACCGTGCTGGAAGCGTATTGGAACCGTATTGGAACCGTATTGGAACCGTATTGGAACCGTATTGGAAGCGTATTAGATCAAAATAGCAACCGTATTGGAAGCGCCGTACTGGAAACCGTGGCTGGAACCGTAGTAGATGAAAAAGGAACGTATTGGAAGCGTATTGGAAGCGTATTAGATCTAAAATAGGAACTCGGATTATGGAACCGTAGTAGATGAAAAAAAGGAACCGTATGGAACCGTATGGGGGACCGTATTGGAAGCGTATTAGATCAAAATAGAAACCGAATTGGAACCGTATTAGATCAAAGTATTTGATTTAACGAAGCTTTTTAATTAACTACAATAACGCTGAATTAAAATCGAGCTGATTAAATGAAAGCTGACAATGATTTCGGTAATTTTTTGAAAAAAAGCATTTCCTTTAGTAAATGAATGATTATTTTATAAAAAAATGAAAAAATGAAGAAAAATGCAGAAGTGATATATGAAAAAGATATTCAGTGGAAATCGAAATAAAAGCGGAAATCGGTTCTTGGTTGTAATCTCTTTGCTCAGAGAAGAAGAAAAGTGATCGATTCTTTTCGGCGAGACTTTCTACGAGTCCTTCTAGTGATAAAATCGGAGAAAATCTTATTAAGTTATAGAAAGCTATAGCTAAAAGCTATGAAAAGATGGAGAATATCAAAATTCGACTATTTAAAATCATAAAAGGGTACAAGATCATAAAAAGCATAAAGATCATAAAAACTATCGAAAACACATAAAGTAAACACTGTAATTGAAAGGATCGTCCACTAATAGAACGGCACA